TGTTCAGAAAATCGCTCGTCGAAGACTCTATGTGCTCTTTTTCGTTACAGAAACTGTCTATCTCTTCGAAATTTCTATCCACCCATGGTTACTTGCCCTGTCAGTTCTCCTAAAACAGCGTGCAAACAGCAGGATCAAGCAGGTTTAAAGAGAAATCGCGCATTTTTTAACGTACATGCTTCTTCTTTGATGGTGTTTGCAAAGCTCATCCTTTCCATAGCTCACAAATTGCTCCAAAGGGACTGGGATTGTCAAAAAAAATTTCGAAAAAAAGTCATGTACTTAAGTTTTGAAAATAGTCGGAGAGAACTCACGCAGGAGCTAATATATGCAAGGTAGATAAGCTACCACGAGTTTTCTAACGTATCAATAACAATATCAGTAGCAAAACTTGTGAGGGATTGGACGCTTGCAAATGTGAGCGAAGTTGTCGTCATTATATCTCTGAAGCTGAAGAGGTAAGAGGCAACCATTCGGGCTATTCCGTAATTCCTAGGCACAAGGCTTGAAATCTAAATAATTATATGTCTGGACAATGTTTATGCAATTCATTCATTGTTCGATGCTCGATAAAACGATAAATTTTCCTTTGGTTGAGAATTATTCTTTTAGAATGAAAGCAATTCTCCTGCTTTTCGTCTCTGCGACGTCTATAAAGATGCAAGAGTTGTGGAATCAATACCCACAATCGAATGGAAAATACATTGTTCCATACAAGTTCACCGGCGCCTACGGTAACTAAGAATTTTTACTTTTATTATACGTGAAAAAACAAGTGCTAACAGAAATACTCAAAAAATTATTGTTATATACCTTTACAGATTGTTTCATTCCCTGCTGTATCAGAGTCAAGCAAATTTTTTCCTCTTCATTGCTTAATTTCACTAAATGGCCATATTTATTATTATGAAAGATCCTGAAGAGCGCTTAATGGTCGAGACTGCTATGCAGAAGATTGCTGACAGCACTTGTGTTGAATTCAGACCTCGCACCAACGAAGGAGAGTTCGTTGATATAGTCAACAAGGAAGGCGGGTCGTACGTTGCTTCTCAGTTATGATTATTCTTACGTAAAACATCAACGCTTTCAAAAATCTCTTGCCTTTGTTACAGCGCGGGACTTATATTTAAAGCGGATGTGTAAGACTGTGTAGCATAATTATATGAAGGAGCGTTTTCAATTAAAAAACAACCAATATTACATTTTACACATTTTTAGATGCAGTGCAAACGTGGGAAGAACTGGCGAAAATAGGATATATCTCGAGTCGAACAAAAATGCAAAGTGAACGTGACGATTTCAAGCAGTTCGAATTTGTTTTCACGTTTCTCAGACTCCCAATATCTTAGATGTATGGACCCAAAAATTATAATGGTGATGCTTCTGCATAGTTTGGGATTGTGGGGCGAGCATCAGCGAGCAGACAGGGATGAGTACATCAAGATACATTTTGAAAACATTGCAGGTTGTTCCATTTAGGCGACTAACGGGGGAAGGATACTTGGTGACCATGGCTTTTTGCAGTGAAACGTATATCAGTAGATGCGCCTTGAAACGTTGATTCCAAATCTGTGTTCATTATCTGCTGCGCGACTCCATGAACGAAGTTATGGACTTTTCTTTTGTATTGATTTCGCGGGATTTATGCAGTCAAAATCGTCAGTACCCAGTCTTTTTGAACTCGAATATATTGGAGACAGTTTTAATGAGCCTGACTTGAAGCTTTGTTTTATTTGACGCTTTCTTCTAGTGTCTAAGCGACCATCCCGGCGATATTGATGACTTGTGTCATCAAAACAATGCAAATTTTGGCGGCAAAAAATGTT